AAGAAATTTAAAGAATTTTTTAAAACTGATGGTTATTTTCAAATAATAAAAAATGCTTTTGTTTTTTCAATTGAAATTGGGTTTAGAATACCCTTCTAATATATTTGCAGATCATTTCCATATCGCGTATAATCCTAGACTGTATAAGCTTCATTTGTATTATCGTTATTTGATTGACAAATTGTCACAATTTGATTGGTTAATTATCACGGGAAATCACAGGTAGATCTACCCAATAATAAAAAAATTATGTTTCTACTGTTCGTCTTTACTTTTTTTTTAGTTATATAAAACAGTAGATAATAATATATATATATTATTACCTACTTACATTAGGATGTTACCTACTTATGAGAATAAATTGTTACCTACTTATGGGTATATTGATACCTACTTGTTTTATAGCTACTCATTTTGACTTTTATTAAGCTTGCGTCGTCATTCGAGTGATGAACGATTCACGCTTGCGTCGTCAGAGATATATTAGTATTTGCTTCATCATTCGAGTGATGAATGATTCACGCTTGCGTCGTCATTCGAGTGACGAACAATTCACGCTTGCATCATCAGTGTCGTAGTATATATATTTTATGACACATTTTTGACGACAGAAATGCAACACCATCATCAGTGTCTAAACTCGAAGAGTCATGATTCGGAGAATTGTCTAGGCATGCAAGTGCTATTGTTTCACAATACGGCTTGTAAAGCAATAGAATATATCACGAAAAAATGCTATCGATAATACTATCATATATATGCTATTGGGTACGCTATATACACGCTATCTGGCCATGCTATATACATGATATCTGGTTATGCTATCGATAATGCTATCATATATATACTATCAGTTAGATATATATTCGAGAGCCTGATATGAAACAAGTGACGAAAAAAGTAAGTATATATGTAAGAAGGTGGATATATAACATCATTTTTTACTATGAATAAATCTGATATTACTTATCTCTCAGCATATGTGTTTTTACTATAGTCTTCTGCCATAATTATTATATATATTTCTGTAAAAGACTACACCTGTTAACTACTATCAACACATACCGAAAATATATTATTAGAAGGGTATTCTTCTTCCATAATTATTATATAATATTTCCGAAGTTAAATATCCTGATGACATACCAAAAATATACCTGATATATATATACGCCAAGGTGGTGTATTCTTCCACTTTTTATATATAAGGCCTTGCCCATGCTTCGCATAATAAATCCGCAGATTAGACCATCCGAACACATACCAAAAATATACCTGAAACCATATCATTAAAAGGGTATTCTTCTTCCATTTTATATATATAATATATCTGAAGTTAAATACCTTGACTACATATCTAAAAATATACTTGGAAACACACTATGAAATAGGTATTCTTCTTCCATAATTTATATAATATATTTCTGAAGTTAAATACCCAATCACATATTTTTTGCTATCACTTACTATTGCAAAGCAGGCCATAGGTGATTCTCCGAATCATGGTTCTTTGAACCTACATCTGTACCTGGCCTAGTTTCTCAAGCTTTTTCTTATGATACCCTGATCTTGCTCAATATTTTTTAGCATGTATATCACAAAAGTCATAAGTAGATAATATCAATTTACCACACTCTTTGCAGGATACACGCACAGGGGAATCCCAATAAACTTTACACCCTTCAGGCCGATAGCAACCTCGATTGCAAACTTCTCTGGTCTTAAGAATATAGGGACAATGATAAAATGCCATAGCTATATACTAGTTGATAAAGATATTGATAATTATACTCTGGAATTAATTTTCATTTTAAACTTTTTTTCTTGCGAATAATATACTACCAATACTATTATAGCTAAAGAAAATATCAATACAAAAAATGAGCACACAAAGCACACAATTCGAGTGGTACGGGGGCGGGGAAACTATAGCAGGAATTTCATCTCGTAGTGATATTATTTCAGAATATGATAATGGGTTAACAGCTATACTTCAACAAAGTTTATCCGATAAACAGCCTATATACTTCATGCCTAATGATGTGAGTGATGCCACTAAGTATATAAAAAATGTATCGACATATATTCTACGTATTCACAGCACTTTGATTAATAGACAAAAGGCTAGGGTAAACATTACAGGTATTAAACCTTTCTTCGATGTCATTGTGCCCAATAACAAACTTTTATCTATATTCAAACTATGATTAGTAAAAATTATATCAGGTGCAGAAAAGATTGATAAATCAAAGTTTGAAATGAAAGTCGCTCACGCGTATCCAATTCGTAGTTACTATACCGAGACAAAGGCATATATTCATATCATTACATAAAATCATTATGATAGAACACGAATTTTAAAAGAGGTTAGTAAGCACAACATTGAAACAGCATCAGATGATATCACTAATGTTTATTATCGAAAGGTAGCCTGTGAAGAAAGACTACCCTTCTCTGAGTGGGCCGTATTAAGCAATTATAATTACATATCAAATACAAATTTACCACATTATTATTTCTGTGTATCTGTAAATAATTTTTAGCCTTTAGGGGATAATAAGCCAGATGAACAAATAGTACCTTTAGCTCTCATACACGATCGAACTCTTGTGCTCACCTGGGATATAGAAACATATAGTAGTCGTAAGATGGGTGACGTACTTATAGCAAAATATGAAGAGGATTGAGTTTTTATGATTTGCATGACCATACATTGGAGGGATGATCCAAAGCCATTAAAACAGATTTGTCTTGTCGATGTTAAAACGGCACCTGATCCAAATTGGGTTACAGTCGTGTGTGGAAATCAAACAAACTTATTAAAAGCATTTGCTCTTTGTTGGAAAGCAATCATGCCAGATATACAAATCGGGTTTAATGATTCGCAGTATGACTGGCCTTTTATTATAGAAAAGCTAAAAGTTTAGGCATTCTTGAATAGATGTATAATCATATGTCGCCAGAACCATCCAACATTGAAGAAATTATAAAATAAAAATATCGAAAAAGTGAAATAAAGACATCTGATGAGAAATTCTACTCGAAATACCTCAAAGTCCCAGGATGTATTCC